CGACCGCCGAGGATGCGATTCTCACCGAATATGTCAGGAAGCATGGGGAGGGAAATTGGAACGCCTTGCAGAGGAATTCTGGGTTGATGAGGTGCGGCAAGAGTTGCAGGCTCAGATGGGCTAACCATTTGAGGCCTAATCTCAAGAAGGGTACCTTTTCTCCTGAAGAGGAGAGGATCATCATCGAGCTTCACGCCAAGCTCGGTAATAAATGGGCTCGCATGGCTTCTCAGGTACCCTCCGCATGTTCATCATACTTCACTGTTCAATCTACCTATTGGGTTTTTTCCATCTTTGTTTTCTTTCTTTTTTTTTTTTCATCCTTCATTTTCCTTTTTCCTTCCGTGCTTCTTTACTATGATTTGCTCATTCTGAACGTAACTGGATTTTACTTTAAGATCATCTGTTGCCTAAATTTTTTTTTTTAAAAAAAACAAGTATGTCCCATCATCCGTCTGGGTAACTGTTCTTTTCTATTCTCTGTTTTCTTCTTCTTCGTCTGCCTCTGTTTTTCTTGAACTTTTTTGCTGTAATTATTTCGGGGTCTTCGTTGATCTTTTCGAAGATGCAAACATTATTTCACGTCAATTTTTGTTCCTTAATTTGTCCATTTCGTTGTTTTGGTCATTGCCCATCTTCTTTATTTATTCTCTCTCCTTGTCTTCTTACTTTTTCTTTCTCAGTTACCTGGAAGGACTGACAATGAGATCAAGAATTTCTGGAACACAAGAATGAAGAGACGCCAGAGAGCTGGGTTACCTCTCTACCCTCAAGATATTCAAGACCAAGCCGCCGTGTTTCATCTCCAGCAACAGCGGCAGCACCAGCAGCAGCAGCGACAGACCAAGCGACCTGGTGGGTCTTCTCCGATGTCGTCAATGCTGTCGTCCCCCACCCAGCCTCGAAAACGCAGTTACAGTCCGTCTTTCTCCCTCATCGATCCCACCCGGCCATCTGCAAACCCTCTGCGGACTCATCATCACTTCACTTCTTCAATCAATTACTCTCCCTCCAACAACCAGTTCAAGATTTACTCTGACCATACCGCCGGCAATTCGAACAACGCCGGTTTTGCTCTGTCATTATCCCCTGTTTCTCCCTACAGATCGTCACTCTCTCCAACCCTGTACAATACCCAGAATTTTCCTTCTCAGTCGATCTCAGCACCGTCTTTCCAGTTCAGTACTTCCGGGAATCTCGACACTAAGATGAGTTACAGTTCTTTGCTCATGGGAAACCTTCAGATTGAGCCTTTTAGTTTCGTCTGCGGACTGGGTTCCGAGCTCCCTTCATACCAAACAACTGTAGCAGAAGCCCTGACTCCGGCTTCTTCTAATACTAGCGGCGGAGCTTATTGGATGGCGCCGTCTTCTGGCAGCACTAACAACGATCAGTACGAAATCGACACGGAAATGGCTAGTGCTGGCAACGGTACTGGTTTATTGGATGATCTTTTGCAGGAGTCTAATGCCCTGTCTCGCCATGAGAAATCCAACTGGTGCTGCAGTGAATCGTCTATGTTAACTGATAAAGGGAAAGGTGTAGTGGTTGATCCGTCGATAGAGAAGCTCCAGGAGGAAGAAGACAATCATGAGAATCATGGTCTTGACTCAGCGCTGAGTCTGAGAATCAGTAGTAGTAAGGCCAATGACTTGGAAAACCAATGGGATCATGAGCTCAACTCATCTCCATCTTCAATTGGTAAGCTACTAATTTTTATTTCCTTTTATTTGCATATGCCTTATTTAAAATTTAATATATATTAGCTTGTAATTAAAAAAAAATTAATCATCTTTATTTAGTGGGATTTTTTACTTTTGACTTGGGCTTTTCAGAACGCATACATATATATATATATATATGTATGTATGCATGTAGATGTGAAACTTGAGGAGTATAGTTGTACTTTTATGGGTGGCTTTAAGTGGCTCTCCCTTGTGACATAAGCACGTAGAAGGCTTCAATAAATGTCCTTTACATGTACAGAAACATATATTTATATGTTATATAAATTGAGCATGAAACGACAAGAGGGGTATGATGTGGGTGGTATGGGCTTTGTTTTACGCAGGGACCAAAGCAATTTACAATGATCCAGCGGCGGGGGCGGCGGCGGCGGCAGAGATGAGCTCCATGGACGACGACTTGCTGAGCTTACTTAACAATTTCCCTTCATCATCTCCACTGCCTGATTGGTATCTGGGGAGCAAGTACTCGTCGGAGGGGTCGTCCTCCGGCAGCATCACCACGAAGCTGGTCGTAGACGCTCAAAACAACATGGAAACATCCAAAACAGCTGGTGCTCCACAACTTGACTGGACTCTGGGTTCATGCTACTGGAACAACATGCCTGGAATTTGCTAATGGAGAAGTAAGGTTGTAGAAGATGTCTGCTAATTAATCAATCAACCAATTAACCATTACTTGAGAAGCTGTTATATTTATGTACGTACGTACGTATGTATGTGTATATGTATTATGTATTATGTATATGTATATTAGGGGTAGAAAGCTTGTAGTGGTGCAAGTGTTTTATGGTTTTAATTAGGTTTAATTAATAGGTTTTTTTCAAGTCTTCTGTTTTATAAAGATGTATCGGCTTGTAGTTCACCACTCTGGGCATTAGCTTATGTAATGTATGTGGACCTTAAAACCCAGAAGGCTTGCGTTTGTGTATGCTTTTTCTCCTGTGCTAGTGTTTATATATTTATATATGTTCTGGAGTTGGATTTGGTTGGGAAGAAGAGAGAGGGGGGGCGTGCGAAGAAAATATTGGGACTTGTGTGTCTGGCCAATTGTGGAAAAGTAAATATTCTTAATGGGGGTGACATACCCAATTGAATTGGTGAAATGATGTTGGCACGAGCAGAAACATAAATTGGGAATGTATTGACTGCTAAATTTAGGAGATTGGGTCATTATAATAGAAGAAAAAGAAGAAGATGACTTTTACGGAATCAAATTATTGGAGGGTGAATTTGGGGGTAAGTGTTTTATTTTTTGTTGATTCACGCAGAGGTGGTTTTCCACCAAGGATGGCCCAATTTGCTCCCAATAAAAACTCAATTATTTATTATTCTCCATCCAAACATGACTTCTTTTACACAGGGAAGTATGCTTATCTTTGTAATTAGTTAAGAAACAGATTCTAACTTATTTAAATTGTAGAATTTTATTTTTACACTTTATCAAAATATAAACACCCATATAATTATATATATATATATATATATAGTTTAATTGGGCCGAAGCAATCAGATTCTATCTCTAAAAATGTCAGCTGCTCTATCCCTTCAAATTTTAAGCCTTTGTTTTGTCTGGGCTTTTAATTTTTCGGACTTTACGAGGGACAAATAACCCGACCTGAAACCAGACTTTTTATAAAATAGAAGATGTAACAAATTATTTAACTCAATCATATACCTTATAGTTTGTAATTAAATAAATCTGATAAGACTTGGAATTTGGATAATAAACTTTTATTTAAGAGTTTTATGCCACCAGTTGAATTACATTACATATTTTTAGTGAGAAAAACCAAAACTAATTTACCATAGTTGTTGTAATATGTATGAAACACACAAGGAAATGGAAGGCAGTATAAGTAGTGTGTGTACATATATATATATATATATATAGTAGGTAAGGTAATTATTTAAGTTGAAGAACGACTTTTCCCAGTTAGAGCTGGCTGATATGGAGGTGAAGATTACGTGTGTATCACGGGTAAACCTTTTTGCTGATGGATATGAAGTCAGAAATGGGTAGTTACAGAAACAAATTTCCTCAGATTGTTTCTTGACCACCGTATATTACATTTTACTTTTTTAAACTTCTGGCAGGCCAACT